ATGTCGGAGGGAACCAATGAGGTAACAGTCATCTTCACAGTTGTGGTAACGAATTGGTCTCTTTTCTCAAACGGCATTTTTAGGTCCGCCGGAGTTTTGAATAGTTTATGTATGTTTATAGTTCATGTTCCAGGGCTTGAACCAGTCAAATTCTCCAACCCACGATTGGAGAAGACTGTAATGAATTGCGCAATTTAACATTGTTATGAGCATTGTAATAACTCATGTAGGCGTAAAGCTCAGAGGAAGAATCTAAAAGCTGTGAATAAAACCTATGAAAACATGTTCTTTGTTCACTAGAATACGTGCTCATGAGGGTACCTTAGAAATATAATTTATGTTTATTTAGAGAAGGAACACAACGGTTCTGGGATCCAGTTGGCCGAATGGTAACAACAAGAAATTAAACCTGTGTGTAGTGGATATGTGAGGTCTGTAAGAATCCTTTGTAAAAACCCTTCACAACTCCTTCACTAGGGGATTGAAGACACGTGGCTTATGATGGTCAGTCTACGTCAGGGCAGTTTAAAATCTTTCTTTAGGATATTTAAAAAAATAACAGGTTAAAAATAAAGTCAAACGGGGAAAATACACTGATAAACGAATATGGAGTGAATCGATTCTTGAATACGAAACTGACGAAGTTTACAGATATGAGAAGAAAGTCATCGAATCTTACTGACAATCTGTTGAATGTGAGATGTCCAATGAAGATTAACATCAATGAACCATCCCCACCCACTCATTCATCTGTTTCTCTCTTTCTTTCTCGCTCTAACGTACCAGGTCATTAGTATCAATAATCCCTTATTATTTACTTCCGAAGCAGGGGTTTTTGTAGTTTCTCTACTTGTCATATTCATTTTCCCCGGAGAATATGTACATGCCCAGACAGTTGGATATACAAATAACCAAAAATCACGTACCCATCCATCATAAAAATCAATATAGGAAAAATAGCGTAAAGCACGTATATAGAGCAGCCTTACTTGGAGAAACGAGTGCCTTTCTTATTGATAGAGACCACTGTTGTATACAATATCTATCAAAGATTGATGAGGATGACATGCACCTGATCTAAACATAGCTTACAACTAGCAACATTCATTCACGTAACGCGGACTGTTTCGTTGAACCAGTAATTTAAAAGAATTCACATTGCTTTTTACACTGTCCTAAACATGCATTTGCTGTTTAGAGTAAAAGTATACAACCAATGCACACAAATTAAGAAAAAAATAATCAAGAATTCACGAATTCCAAAGCATCAACATGGGTCAATCAATTAGAGTTCTTACTGGTTGTCCCAGTCCAGTAGAAGTGGAGAATGCCGGTGAGTGCGTGCGTGTGTGGGTGTCTACATGCATGTATGGCGTGCCCGTAGCCGCACACTGATTCCTAGTATGTGTGTGTGCGTGCGTGCGTGTGAACAGACAGTCTGATAGCATCTAAAATGCAACTGTCCTCTGTACGCGTTGGCTCAATTTCATTGGTTTCCCCATTTCCCCGTATGACCCAAAATCCACACAAGCGTTCATCGGTTCCGCGGAACCAGAGTATCATATCTCACACAGAATTGCTATGAACCCGTCGGTTCTGGCCGTTCATATTATGATCGGCGTATTGGGCGGATCAGGACTCATATTGAATACTGTGGTATTGTATTTTCTCTGTCAGACACAGCTCACTTCCAAACTGACCACAACTTTGATGCGTAGTCAAAGTGTGGCGGACGGATACTCTTCCCTCATAATCATACTGTATCAAATACTTGGTCCACAAATTCACACCGGTTCCGATCCGATAGATCGATTACTCTGCTGGTTCTGGTCACATGATCAATTGTTCTGGTTCGGGGTCTCGCTTAGTGTACACAATATTGTATGCATCTCATTCGATCGCCTGATAGCCGTGGTTCGACCCATCCAATATCGTCTACATCAAACCTATCTGCTTGTGGTCTGTTACGTCTATCTAATTGGGATTGTTCTGTTTCTGTTCGTCCCGAATTTTCTCTTGCGTGATTATCATAACGGTACGTGTTGGTACGGGATCCCGCAGGAGAATACCGCGAAAAGTCGATTTCTTGTGTTACACTCCTATTTTTGGTTTACTCTGGCCTATTTGTTACCGGCACTGTTTGTGGTCCTCTGTCATGCCATGATCATACGCTATCTGCGCCGATCACAAGCCGAAGTAGCCAGTGAAACTCCCGGTCAAGGTGGATCAATCAATGTGAAACGAATTGTGACAGTCACGGCTGGGATGGCGGCGAATTTACTGCTATTTCACGCCTGTGAATGTGTTCGTTACAGTCTGGCCGCGATGAATGTGATCCGTTACGCGGCCGGATCGCCGGAACAACAGGCAGGAATTCTGTTGATCACAATCAGTTTCTGTATTAATCCGTGCTTGTTACTCTACACCAAAGCCTCATTATTTGTGACTATACGGGATTGTATTTGCCTGGGGATTCCACGAGTTTGGGGCCGTTCGAAAACGGTTTTACGGCAGCGACAAGGTTTGCCATTGCAATAATTTTGTCCGCTTGTCCCCGGGCTTGTGTGGCTTCCAATTATGTGCGAAGTGATCTCTGGGCACACATCGCATCAATCAGTGCGGTCGGGATGATTTTATTATTTTTTTTTTTGCTGGGGGGTGGGGAAGAGAGGGAGTTTCGAGAGAGTACCACAAAGAAGAATGCGTGGCCACCGAATGAAGAAACGTCCATCGTGTTCAGTGAATACTTTTTTAAAATTTGATTTGAGCAAACAATACTATTCTGTACGCAGAGTTTTCAAAAGTATATATATATATATATTTTTCTGATGCCAGATAAAAGTTTTCCTCTTCCGACATAGCCTATCGATTTTGTTGAAAACTAATCTTCAAGAAATGGAGATAAAAGCATACCATAATGATGGACTGATAAATTGCATAGAGAGCACATTTGAATATCAACCTAGCCCGAGGTAACAGGCTGTGTATACCATCGTTTGTAAGTAGAGCATCAATTTCAAACGATTCACATGAAAAACTGACTGTGAATCAAAGCAGGATATCGATTAGAATGATTTTTATTCACCAACTTGTGCCAAATAAAATTTCAAATACCCAAAAGTTTGAATTTAGATAATTAAACAATTTTTGGACCCATCTATATTGAAATCGTATAACTTCATATGGATAAACCTGGAGAACATTCCCCTCAGGAAGGTCAGTCAACTAAACGTGTATCTCAATGAGTGGACAGGTTTTCCCCCAGGTAAGAAAAATCGCTTTGCTTGATTACAGTTTTCTACGGACGATTAAACTAACTGATATGAGCCAATCCGTATGGTCGAAGGTGTATTTGTGCCAAGACTTGAGTTCGATTCCCTACATCACTGGCACCGTTGTTTATGCTACTTATCACGGTAAACAATATCTTCAGATAAATTACTTTAGCATTTATTTGTGTTGTATTATTGTATTGAGTAACTGTTGCCTGTCAACTGTCCCGCAGGCAACATATTTCCCTGGGGAAAATATGCGTACACTGATAGCTTAGGGACATTTCATTGTCCGAGATTCAGTTAAAGTTCCCTTGGTAACTTCTCCATTTGTGTGTGAGTAAATGTGCAAGATANGAGGGGGGGGGGGAGGGGGAGGGAATTGGTGAATTTCGGCAAGCGTTTTGTTTTCTGTGTGATTGCAATTTTTCGGAATTCAGAGCGTATGGGAGACCGATGGGAACCCGAACGGGTGAGTTCTCCTCGTAAAATGGGTGATAATCTGATAATCTGAAATTTTCACAAGAAATGTTTTCACAGAAATGCGGTTGATGCTAGTTACACAGCGGCGTACCGTGGCGTCAGCCAGGCGCCAAAGTTTACCGACGCAGTTGGGAATGCGGATTGATCAAAGAAGATTACTATCCATAGTTACACCAAGTTATTTAGCAGAGTTCACTTTAGATAAAGGACTGTTTGTTATCACTGTAAGGTCTGTCGGATATGAAAAGCGTGCAAAACTATGCAAACGTTCAACATAGTGCTAGGATTCCAGTTTAGCAGAAGTGAGTTTATGAAAGATTACCGGAAGTCAGCGGTTGAGATCGAAGGGAGAAGAAATGGGTTGGAACACAGTATAAAAATATAATCTGCGTATTTCAAAACACGTGCTACAGAAAAACACAAGGAATAGCACAAATGTACGTGGAAGTGAGATTGGGAACAGCATGGTAGATCCTTGAAGCTATCCGGCGCTGTTGTATAACGGTTTGTAGAAAACCTTTACAAGTTTAGTGGTTTTCGCTCAACCGACAAAAAAAACAGTTTGATAGGCAAGCTAGTAATTGCTTGATGGCTCAAGATATTCCAAGGAATTAAGTCAAATACGGAAAAATGGTAAAAAACAATACACCGAAATGATTTGCCAAAGTCAAATAAAAGACTTAGATATAACATGAATCAGGGTAGAGACGGCGTTCAAAAGAGATCTGTTAGGATTGATTGTAAGCAAACTGTAATGGGTCACTGGGAATATCCCTGACCTATTGTATCATTCCAGGCACCCCGAGGAGGTCTTGAGTTCGAACCGTGCCACTGCCGTCCATCTACCACCTTTCCATATTTTCCCCGGCAAATTTTTTACGGTCTAGGTTCCCTTCCTGAAACACACCTGTACACACTTGTATACTGAAAAAAAACAGGAATTAAACCAATTATTAGTGTTAATATCTGGCATCTGTTGGTGCGAATACATTTTTTCCTAATGTAATAATTAGATTACAGTATCAAAACAACTAAAGATTTATGTTGAATCCAACGTTTATTACTTACCAACAAATGGTTTATTTTTACTGTGAGCAAAGCACACGGGGACCAGAGTTGAATTCAACCCGGTAAACGTTCGATACAACTGAGATGGAGCGAAAGGCCAGATAAAAGTGAGCGATCAGTTTACAGATTATGAGTTCCTATTGTTTGAAACAGTGAAACAGTTAGCTACTCTCAACAGCGTTCCCCGCACTGTCTGGTGTTGGATAGATTCAGGCTATTCTGAACGCACTGTGGAGGACAATACCGGACAAGAGAGCATGAAATGGGTATTTGCCGATTTTGCAGTCGGTATATTCTTATACTACCGGAATAATTCTATCCTGCAAGGGCAGATGATATTTATTATTTATTTATTATTACCTTGCCGAGTGGCTGCTTCAAACAAGATATATATCGTTATTACCCTTTGGCTCCAACCAGATCAACCAGAATATTCAATCACTTAAAAAAATTGTATCAAAGGAAATTAAAAAAATGATTTTTGGTAAACTTGAACAAATGAGAGAGCTAGAGGACCGCCCCCTGTAAAATACCAATTTCTTAGTTGGTTTGGGTACATAAATAACGCACTGATGATCACAATTATTCGTTGAAATATTTCGATTGACAGAAGTCTGTATAGGTCATTTGGATACGCACAAAGTACTTCCATAGTTTGTAAGTGCTGTTTTCTAACCTTTGATTTTTGAGGTTTTGAGTCGATCTTCATATAAAAGTGAGGGGGGGGGCAGGAGAGATGAAATGAAATAGGTTCGGGCGAACCGCAGCATCGATTTGAACTAAGTACATGTTGAACACAACTCAAAACTCGTCAAACGGTTTCGTTTACAACCGGCGAAGTGCAAACCAAGGATGAACACATCGGTGAACATTAGTCATAGTTCCGCTGTGCCCATAGAGTTCAAATTTTAAATTTTTCATATCAGCTGATGTCAAACGATTGAACCAACCCGTTTGTTTCACTTTCGATGCATTCGCATCGTAATAACTAGGGTAATTCTTTGTATTGTGATGCACAAATCCAATGTACACATTTATTTAAATTGTTTTCATGCAAGCCAGCCATTGGATATAGTGTATTTGGACTTCTCAAAGGCATTTGATCAAGTAAACCATCAATATCTACTGCGAAAACTCTACAACTACGGAGCAAGAGGTTTGTTTCTGTACTGAATCAAGAAGTTTCTCCAATAAAGGACCATGTCAGTTCGTGTTGGTGATTCATTATCAGAGTCTCTCACCGCAGCCCGAGGGGTTCATCAAGGATCCGTACTGGGGTCTCGTCTCTTTCTTGGATTTATAAACGACTTGCCATATGTCCTTGGGCCTAATACACTGCTATTTGCGAACGACGCTAAGATCTGGAGGACTGAAGAATATCCTGAGGATTATATAGCACTTCAACAAACGATCGGTGCAGCCCACCGATAGTCAATCACCAATGACATCGAGTTCAACGTTTCCAAATGCACTGTCATCTCCATGCGGCATAAGACTCGTTTCTCATATGTTCTGGGGTACCAAGTACTACCGCATGCCACTGATGAAAAATATTTGGGAGTTATGGTACAGGAGGACGTAGGATGTTTCACGCACTGTGCCAGAGCATCATCCATGGCTCTAAAGCAAGTTGGACTACTCAGACGTGCTTTCGGGCAGTTCAAAAGAGCACTGTTCCCACGCTTGCTATCAGCGTTCGTTTGGCCACACACGGAGTACCCGTCGAAGTATAGAATCGGTGGTTGAACCGCAACAAGAAGGCTCTAGAACGTCCTCAAAGGATGGAAACGAAATTGATAGAAGGTCTGTATAACAAGACATACTCCGAAAGACTGCAAATATTGGGACTCTACTCATCTCAATACCGTCGACCTTGGGGGACCTGATTTTGACATACAACATACTGCGTCATTCCAACCACCCTTGCCGTTCTGTGCTGACTGTATATCAAAATGATCAACTCAGGTGACATCCGCTCAAGTTAAAGACCCAGAACAGCCACCTTAATTGCTGAAATCACTCGTTTGCAGTCACAGTGTGCAGTGTATAGAATTCTCTTCCGTCCGATGTAGTATGTGCTCCTACAGTTGAACTATTCAAATCGCAACTTGGTAAAGCACCGGGACACTTAAAATGTCGACATCCGAGAGTGATCATGCAAATTGTTATTATTATTATTATTTTCTCTTTGTGAAGTTATTCAAAATATTCTGTAAAAATCCTATAGGGCATGATAAGCTTTAGCTTTATTAAATCACCCATATTAAAACTTTGACTTTGCCTTTGAATGGCTTTGGTTTCAGAGTGGTCTGGAACAGGCTGAATTTACCAATGGGGCTCGAAGCGCGAAGGTGGAAAACGGTTTTCCAGCAACGGAAAGCCAGTCGTGATGTGGCCAANTGGCCAATAGTGGAAGTGACCGTCGATGTTCGCACCGACACCGCTTTGGTGTTCGATTTTCGCATTCCCTTGGTCAAATGAGCATACATGAATGCTTAATTCCATATATATATATATATATATATATATATATAACATGGACATAATATGAATGTGCTTCACCGCTCCAAAAAAGCGCTCTGTTTCACCGATGCAGGTTAGCAACAAGCCGGTGATTTGTAAATGGAACCTGTCGAACCTGACTGATTGGGTGACAGGTATTACTTGGTAGAACGCATGGTCAATGATTAGAAGGAAAAGCGTCTTGCATTGAAC